AACGAATCATTACGCCTAAGAGTCTGGTCCTTGAGAACCGCGGACGATTAATCCATTGTGCGTTAGGGTACTCATTTCAATAATAATTTTAATTATTACCGCCATTCAAATTTAATTCAACGTAGCTTAATAAGAAATTCCATTTGAATTCGTAGTCCATTTTGAGTCCAATTTGTGATCTTGTTTGACCGAGATCAACAAAACGAGAAATATTCAAAGGTAAAAATTCAGATGAGAGGAAAGTCGGATGAAAACTGTCGACGAATTTCAATATAAATGGAATGTCAAAGTCAAAGTCAAAGTCAAAATCATTTATTTCAATTAGACCAGGAAGGCACTTTTGAACGTCAAAACAAAATATTTAAATATTAAATAATAAGAAAAAATGTCAGTCTGTAGGTCAGTCCTCTAGTGAAGCTATTTGCTCGTTCCAAAATGTAGATTCCTATGGAGAAGAACGAGCAAGAAACTCCATAGGTATCTCCTCTATTTCAATCATGTTCACAATACAATTTTTGGTTACATTCATTCGTTGAGTTCAATAATGTGAGAACAATGTAATACCAATATTTGGTCAAGGAGACGGAAAAAGAAAATAACCTGAAAATAATGACTCCTGTATATTCACTTTGACCTTATATTGGGCGTCAACCAATACTTTTTTTCTAATTCCTTACTTATAATACTTCGTTTTGATGTTTATAGTTCGATATCCTTATTGTTTACGAGATTGCCAATCACTACAGTTAATTTCGTGATCGTGATTCTACAAGTTACATTTTTACAGATTTACTCACACACAAATAAACAGCCTATAATTGACCACTGCTGACCAGAGGCCTCTTCTCGCAGGAAGAAGGTTTGACGTACTACGGTTGCTCAGTGCGGATTGGCGATTTCAAACTTATGAGAGAAATTATAAGTCCAGGTTTCCTCCTAATGTTTTCTTTCACCGTTTGTCAATGATGTCTAAATAATCTTAGAAAGTATTGCTTGTAAGTATTGGTCGCACTCTCGTGCATGAGGAGCGAGGGTATTTTTATAGAGTTTCAAAAATTATTTAATTACATAATAAGTTATGGGTACAATATGGGCTTTGCACTAAAATCATCGCAAAGACGAAAAATTCTGAAGAATCACATATTTTTTAAAACCTTTGACTGAGCGGCCATATTACTAGAGGTGCAAACCCACTATCAGAGTTAACTTAAATCTTTATTATTATACAATACAGACACTAATGAAATCACTTCTGAAGATATTCCAAAGAAACAAATCACTTCGGGTTGTTACGTCTCAACTTGGTACTTATTCACAGCTGTTTCAGCCATATTTTCTTCTACTTAGATTACTCGACATTATATTAATTTTAATGAACATAACATAACGTCACGTCTTTTATCACCGAAGGGGTAGATAGAGGTGCACATTAGTGCACTTAATGCCACTGTACAATATAAAACCTACTTTTCACTATTTATGTTATAAGTCCCATGTAATAGGGGTGAAGCCTAATGTCATATACCGGGCACAATTGGTTGGACTGCACGGTTGGTGCGGTGGCTGGGCAACCGGCTACCGTGCAACGTGTCGCGGGTTCGATTCCCGCACGAAACAACACTTTGTGTGATCCACAAATTGTTGTTTTGGGTCTGGGTGTGTATGTGAACTTGTACAGTTGTAAACGCACCCACGACACAGGAGAAAATCCTAAAGTGGGGCAACGTTTAAAAAAAACAGACTGAGTGCTACTACTGTGATTTTTTTTTTAAACACAGTAAATCGAACTCGAGACCCAGCACTTGCGACCAATGAATGAACCAATGAACGATGATGAAGATATTTAACATAAAATTTCTAAAGTCAATGAATGACGTATGCACAAAACCAAAAAGTATGGAAGACACCGGGAAGTATACTATACTGCACTTGTAAATATATGGATGAAATATTACCGGTTCAGTGATTTAATCATGAAAGCGTAACAAATAAACCAATTCACAGTGAATTTAAATAACACAGGTTTGCACCTGTGTACCGTAATTGCTTACGGTTTACAAGATTAATAGAATTGATTCCAACGTGGGAATGCTTGGAAGAAGAAAGAAGGAAATAAATTAAAACTATCTCATAAATGTTAAGTACCTCTATATTGTATGCTTTTGTGCTGGCCTGTCTGTACCTGTCTAATTGTTTGTGTACCTGTATTGACCTAATGTCTCTGCAGAAAACCTCAAGCGGCGCAAGTATAACAACCTTAGTTATATCTTTGAGCCATTAGGTCCGTGGCGTCCGAGTGTCCATAAATTATTCAAAGACATTTCTAAACGCCTGGTTGACGCATTGTGACCAGAGGTCTGGTCTTTTTCTCGATCAGACGTTAAGCATTGCCGTACAACGTGGCAATGCTGCCAGCCTTCTGGGTACTTTCCCCACTGACGTCGATGCGGACGAATTTTTCGATGCTTTGTGTATATATAGCTATTTTTAGTTTTCTTTTATTTAATTTTTATCTGAAATTGTATGTATTTACTAATAAGTAGTATTTGTTTTATTTAAGTTTGTATATTAATAAAATGATTATATGTCTACTAACATTCGTTTTCAAGTTAAATATCACTAACAAGATTGACTAACTAAAATATACCGAGAAAAGCTCTACTAGTAGCCAGTAGACGGCGCAACATCGCCGCGACCGCACACGCTGCTCACGAGGAAGAGCCCCTCTGTGGCTCGAAACTAGTAGAGCTTTTCTTAGTACCTAAATTCACGTGAGTAACTCGCGATTTTTAGTTAATTTAGTATTTCACACGATAGTTATTATAAAAACATTATAATCATGGTCTGAAATAAATGATTATTATTAGATTATCAGTGAAGTAATCAAGTAGTATTGAATTAGCCATTATCACATAGCAAACTGAGCTTAGATCTTACCAAATGATTTCCAGATTTCCCGATTAGAAGCCACTTTAGAATTGATCAATGTATAAAATTTACGATAAACGAATCAACTTTGCAATAAACATAATAAAACTCAATCCTAGCTTCGTCTGAACCTCGGGTATGTTTGCCCACATCGAAGCGACCTCTCATTACCCTCCGCATTCCGTACAGTACCTGCAACCCAAGTAAAAGAAACTCATTAAAACTTTTTTCTCAGAGATACAACGCGGTTGAGTCCGCATTCGAATATAAATAAAACTCGACTTGTTTTTAAATTAATTTTCTGTGATTTATATTTAGATTAGGAATTTATAAATTGGCATAATTTTTAACTTATATTTTATTAAATAAGTGAGCTGTTATGTCGACGAATTTTGGTATAATAATATTAGAACCTAATGTGTTATATCGTTCAGTTTTTCTTGTTATTCTGACAATGTCAAATGAGCATGAACTTGGATTTCAATCGTTTTTGCTGTCCTATTTCGTATGCTTAAATAAATAATCTCTTTTAATATAATACTAACCTGCGAAGACAATTACAGAAAAAAATATTAATAGACCCAACTTAATGCTTTAATATATTCTGGTATAAAGTTTAATTTTCTAATAATCTTTACCTTCTATTATGTTTTTGGCTTACTGACGTAATTATTTGACGAATAACTCGAGTAGTTTCAAGCCATGCTAGAGGCTCATATTCATGAGCAGCATTTCGCGACCTGCGACGCGGCGACTGCCGCGCTGTTACTGGCTACTCGAGCCTGGGCCCAGCGCGCCCTCTGCCGTGATTCACGCGCACTTTCCTTTATTTATGGTATCGGCGACGGCGACGCCCGCGACACTGTTGGCACGCTAGTTTTATTACAATTATATTTACATAATTTATTGTTTACTAACATTTGACAGGCCCACAATTACGCGTTGAACATGACTGCTTTCTTGACATATGAGTTTTACGCGCTACATGTTAATTGTTCCATTCGTAACATGCAGTTGTTGCTGTCAAAAGCAGTATTTATATTGTTATTTTCTAGTTCTTGTTCAATTTCGTACTTACAAGCAATTTGGATAAAAATTTCATTTTGTCGAAAGTAGGTTAACAGATTAGAAAATAAATAACTTTTTTATGGGATAAGCTGGTAAAAGACCAGACAGATCACCTGATGGTAAGCTATCGCTAACATGCAACACCAGAGACGTTACAAGTGCGCTACCGGCCTTTTGGGAATTGGGAATTTGAGAATTATGAGGGATTCAAGGATTGGGGAACAGTTAAAGAAGTTAATTTAAAGTGTGCTCCCCAGTGGGATTTTGCTATCCTTATTAAAATAAAGTCCACAATTAGGTACCTAGATACTATTTTATCTAGATACCTAATATAGTGGCCATAATGGGTTCCATAATCTTTTTTCTAAGTTAGGTATATACATACCATCATAAGTTATCTCCGTCAAGACGAGGCCTTCGATCAGCAGCGGTCACTTATAGGCTGTTGATGTTGAATGATGATGATATACGTATACATATACCTCGGGTTCGATTCCCGGGTCGGTCAAAGTACTACTGGGTTTTTAAAAATTCTCAGTAGTAGCATGCAGACTGGAATTGCGCCCGGTATATGGCAATAGGCTCACCCTCTATTACATGGGAATCATAACATAAATAGTGAAAAGTGAGTGTTACATTATACAGTGGCTTTTATCCCATTATTTTATTATAAAAGGCGTGATGTTATGTTATGTTATTGTTTTTTTAACGTCCTTGCTGGTACATAAACATAATGATATAGAAGTCATCGGACAACGGTCATGCATAATTGCAAATTAGAAAAAAATAAACCAATTATCCCTACTGGCAGTAAACATCCGTATTGTTCAATATAGAATATTTTGTAAAGAAGGATTGTAATGAATAGTTTTTCGACATCCTCTATTAAATTCACGACAGGAAAGAAATAATCGATTGATTCAGTTTGTGCAACGTGTTTAGGATTACAAAACATAGCTTGGTCCTGTTTAGTGTTCCGCGAAGGGCACAGTGTAGTCGTCGTGTAGAAAAATGAATTATTTTTCTATCGTTTTATTATTAACCGTGGTTTATCGAGTGGAATCCGGACATTTTGACCGATATTCTGGAAAAAAGGTTGAAGTCGCTCAAGCTAAGGAGCTGCGATTGAAAAATGCTACAGAGTGAGTTTTTTTTTATTTGTTACCCTAATACCTTAAGTTGTTACCCTAAAAATAATAAACTCGAAAGCCAGTTTATTTGAAGCATTTTTGCATCTGGTGTCAAGCAAAAGGAGCAAGCCAAAGGGTGATATAGACGTCATACTTTTTTGCTTGAAGCAAATTTTGCAAATTTCCTGTTCACGAAGGACACGTGTAGGTTCAATATGTACCTCATACATACCTAGTTTATCGCATTACCCTCGTTCCTGCCCTAATATAAGACTTTAATTTTGAGAATTCGATGTTACAATGTCACATAGCATGCAGCTCTATCTACCACTTCAAGGTGTAATAGACTAATAAGTTATTATCATTATTCTTTCAAATATTTCAAGGCGATGCTCGATAGAAGTAAGACCATGTACTCCCCACGAAGGCAGCCGGGTTGATGGCACGTGTAACAACTACAAGTACCCAACCAGGGGATCTGCGAAAGGACCGTATCTGAGACTCTTGAAGCCAGATTATGCCAACGGTAATTGATACTTACTTGTCGAAACTTTGTTCCATGTATACACAGTGAAACCTATTTCGTTTTCATCCCAAAGTAAAATGGTTCTGTTTGGTAATAGAATAATAATACAAAGAAAAAAAATGTTTAAAATAAAAAATAACTGGTGAACCATTGCAAATACGAAAGTGCATACGAACTCATAATGAGCCCCGGTGAGCATAGTTAGTGTTGGGCTTAAGTTTAATTATTTAATCTAATTTAATAAATAAAATAAATAAGTAGATTGTAACACTATGTTAAATAATTTAATTGTTTCGTCAGGTGTAGCTTATTATACGGACCTTGTGGAATCTAGAACGAATTTCCGTGCGTTTAGGCGTTTTTGCCATACCTATTATTGGAAGCAAGTATAACAGCTCACACATAGGACCCACTTAGTTTTTAGTCAAATTTCCGTGGTGCTTGGCGACTGGGCTTCACCCAGTTGTACAGTCTCTTCTTTGTGCCTTTAGGCTTAATTCATTCTGTCTCCTGCAGTAATTCACCGAGGGAAGTGAAAACCATAGTTTTTCTTCTTCTCCTCTTATAATATCTTCTGATTCACTTCGTTGCGGGAACCAAGACAGTTACTCATGTCCCTGGGACGCGCCGGACTTCAGTGTTCCGGTGTTTTCATGGTTGTATCTACTGTAGATCCTGGCTTACAGGAGTTGCAGCGGTTTTGGGAGGTTGTGGCGGGCTTGTCCCATTTAAAAAAAAGTAGATTTTCTGCACTATCAAAATTGCCGTGCCTATGGACTTTGTGGTCTGAAATAAATAAATGTTTTTTTTTTATAGTACATTATCAAAACATAACGCCATGTAATTCTTGATTTTAGATATTTCACGGCACATGGGGTCGGACTAGTATTTCATATGGGTATTTCCGTAAAAAAACTTACGTCTTTTTTTATTTTTACTATATACATCGAAAGTACTGTTTATGGCAAGATGCTTTGCCGTGGAACCAAAAACCAAATAGATTTTACGGTATATATATATACACTCGTGATTAGTTAAGATGGTACAATATATATATAATGTGAAATACTTTTTCTATAGCTATAACAATTTTATTGTCTCTGTAATACTGAATCAATCTTCAATTTCTTATATGGATTCTACTGTTTATTTCTCAAATGAGTTTTTGTTTGTTTTTGTTGCTAACCCCTCAAGGTTTCTTTGTTTTTTTTTTGATCGGTTGTGTTACAAAGTACACAAGGTAACTAACAATTTTGAAACCACTACACAGCTACCTACTGTAAACAGTAATTACGATTTTTTCAATAACTTTGGCTATAATAGTCATTAAATTACATAAAAACATAAAGGCGGATGCGCAATTCCGGATTTTTACAACATTCATACAACAAGAATGGATAACCACTCTAGGAAGTTGTGAAAATGTTTCATTGTCTACTAGCAAAATATGTAAGATCACCCACACACCAAACTGACCACTGAAGATTTTGTGTTTTCGTAGAAACTGACTTTTTTACCCAACTATAGTAATGATATTGTTTATCATAATAATCCGTACACTATGATAGTTTCTCCCTACTATCTAGATGTGATAAGTAAAACAATAGAATATTTATCCATTCCATCATCCTCAGATCGGCATATCCGCATGAACAGACACAGCAAGCCGCTACCATCAGCCCGGAAGGTTCGGACGGAACTGCACACCACCGGCCGAGTCGAAGATAAGGTCACGTTCAATGTGGCTGCTGTCCACATGATGGAGTTCATTCATAGAGATATCAGTGTTATGGATGGACCATGTGAGTATAGATGTCACAACTAACTGCTTGAGAGACATTCGGAAGGCAAATGACTAGAAATAAAAAAGTATTTGTAAAATCAGATGATAATATTAAAGAACCTGGTGATGGTAAGTTAAACTATTTTAGCCAGTTATTTATTGCTCACAAAAATGTTCGAGATCCCTCTTGATGGATGGATGAGTATCATTGGCAAAATGATTTTTTTAGCATCTTAATTTATTTAGTAAATAAAGCAAACAAGATAACAATCAATTATCAATCTAGACTATTCGTTTGCCGCGGACACAGAAATATTAAAAATTATATCTGTGGCCGCGGAGGACTTAACGGCTTGCCGGGGCTCCGGATCGAAGGGCGATAAGGGTAGGAACGGGGTGGTTTTTAGTCAGTAACAGTCTGACACTACCTCCCGTCTCACTCAGGCGGGAGCAGTCATTCGATGATTTTCCCTCCTTAAAAAAGACTGTTCATTTCAGTGGACTACCTCAAGCGAAGACAGTACTGCTGTACACCAATAGGCGACAAAGACCCGAGATGTATCCCCATACATGTGCCGCACCACGACCCCTATCTCAAAGTGACTGATATTCACTGCCTCAACTTCTCTCGAGCGGAAACTTTCCAAGTCGCCGGCTGTACACCCGAAATAATACTTCCTGAACAGGTTAGTACAGTTGAAAGTTCCAAAGTTATGCATAAGTTCTCAGATACGTGTGAAACTGATCTCAATTTGAATTTGAACTCTTGTTTGATGTGAGCGTTTCAATATTAAGTGGGTTGTTTCTGTCACTTTAAGGTGCTCAAATCTCTCACTTTGGTAAGATTGTCTTGCTGTCACTGTTCTTTATATGTGTGTGGATGATAATAATATAGCTGTGTGAAGAAGGTACCGCGTTTGCGTTTAAACTGTTGACATGGTATAAACCTCGACAATAATCACTATTATGTATTTTCAATAATCACTACCTATTGTCAATTTTCGCATTTTACCTTTGATTTTGGTCTATTCTAGCTTAATTTTGTGTCGTGGTGGCCCGGAGGTTTAAGACGCCCATTTCTTATGCATGAGCATTGCAAAACCAAAAAATAACTGGTAAACAATTGCAAAAAACTTTGAAAGCGCCTATGAACTCATAGTAAAAATCAAAACATCACACCATGTAATTCTTGATTTTTGATATTTCTCGGCACGTGCGATGCGAACAGTGCCTACAAATTTACGTCTAGTATTTCCGTAAAAAAACTTACGTCTTTATATTTTTTTGTTTTTACTTTGTACATCGAAAGTACTGTTTATGGCAAGATGCTTTTGATTTCTTATGCATGAGGGTTCAAAACCTACTAACGGCAAGTACCAATGTGACTTTTTCCAAATTAAATGTTCTTTCTAAGATTATTCAGACATTTGACAAACGGTGAAGGAAAACATCGCAAAGAAACCTGGGCTTATAATTTCATATTACTTATAAGTTTGAAATCGCCAACCTGCAGTGAACCTTCTCCGTGTGAGAAGAGGCTTTGCTCAGCAGTGTGGGCATTTATAGGCTGTTGATGTGATGTGATGTGATAGCTTCATTTTACTTATTTTATCTCAATACTAAACAAATGTAAAACTGCTAAGTTTCGTAAAAAGCACAGTTTATTTTTACAGAATAACATTTATGTTTTGGAAAGAAATAAGTAGGTCATATGGTAAGATAGTCGTGTCGTAATCAAAGTAATATTAAAGACAGATTATTTTATTATTTCTATGGTCGCAACCATTTATTTTATTCTCCTTTATTTAGCAGCCATTTTTATTAAGGTCATTGTATCCAATAACGACATGTTCAAATAAAATTTTACTGTTATTCATTCAATTGCAAAATACTTAGGTAATATAGATTGTAAAGAAAAGTTGTAAGGTTCTCAGATGAGTTCCAAATATTTAAAGTCAAGATAAAACAAAATGGTTTTGATGACACGCTTGGGAATTTTCGGCTGTAATAACATGACATATATTACGTTGAATTTTTTTTTTATCTTATTATAAAAATGGAAAAAAATCAAGATGATAAATTGTAATATTTTTTCCCAATCTCTAAAAGCATAATAATTAAAACACAATTAAAAGGTATCATACTGACGTCTTCCATTATCGTAGGTCAAGCACGTTACGTAGCGCTCGCGCAGCTGTCATGGCTGCCATTATGATCTATATATAGACCTGAGTTACAGCGGCCAAATACTAGATGTCGCTACTAATGTCACGAGTAAAATACAAATACATATCGTATGATGTTTTGAAACAGTATCAGTTATTTTACATGAATAATTTAAAAACTAACTAGCTATAACAAATAAACTTTTTATTTTAATATATCAGTAAATAACACAGGCAATCAATGACAACACTCAACATTAATAATCACCATATAATCTTTGAAGTGAAACCGCTAGATGTCACTGTGCCGTGACGTCATTTTGTGAATCGCGGTGTTAAGATTCTCCGTGAAAGAATGACCCTCGTCGGTTCGGTGGCGACAGTTAAGACCTTACTTCATAGGATCATTTCTATAGTAAGCTCTTCTCGAGACTTTCACACTATGTGAGTCCTCACCAGTCACGTTGATGAGATGTGGCGCGGTGCCCTGAGCGTGAGGCGGGCGGTGGTAGACCTACCATCAGCCCTCGATGATCGTTCGCTTCCCTTCACGGGGAAGAGTGGGGTACTGTCGCTGTCTGAGTGGCTGTTTTTTAACCCTTTAAATACTGAAAACATCGATTGTTATGTTTACACGAAAGAGTTTATTTTTCAACGACTCTACCTGTAATGTTAATACTAGTTTTATCTCTGGTATGATAATGCTATATTGATTTAATAATTAATGAATTCTATTGTCTGTTGATAAAGTGAACTACATACAGTTGAAAAATCCATTTGTTGTCATTTATGTTATGTCGGAAGACGTAAGTGTTATTCTCTAGAAATAATTGAAAACTTCGAGGATTTTTTGTTATAAGCTTTGTTATTTACTATGAGTCCATATTATAATAATTATATTCCGGAGAAGTTTGTAGAGGAGTTCACGTAATATGGAAAATTACGCACACTTCTCTAGTAATTTTAAGTCGCATAAATATCACCGGGGAAGCCTATATACTAAATAACAACTTTATTTCATTGTATTACTTAAGATTAAACCAATAATTTTGACAAAGGAGTTCAAATGATTTTTTTTTTTAATTCGTCATCGTTTAAAAAAAATCTGTTTTATAGAATGTCGATTCTATAAGGTTTTACTAAGCCAAATGTAATTGTGTACCTATTTCGTCATTTAAGAGATAAACACAGATTTTTTATGGGATAAGCCTGTAAACGAGCACACGGATCACCTGATGATAAGCAATCGGCGTCGCCCATGGACACGTGTGCCTTTAGCCAAACGCCACTTTAGCGCTTGTCTACAGAGAGAGAGAGTAGAAAACTAAATGTATGGAGATGACACTGACAAGTGTAAAAATTTACGTCAATTCCATATAATTTAGTTTTCTATTCTACATGTAGAAAGGTGCTAAATGGCATCTGGCTATAGCTACTTGGCCTTTAGCCAAACGCCACGTTAGCGCTTGTCTACAGAGAGAGTAGAAATCAAAATGTATAGGGATGACACTGACAGTTCCATATTTATAATTTGGTTTTCTATTCTACATGTAGACAAGCGCTAAATGGCATTTGGCTACAGCTGCTGGAACGCCACAGGCGTAACAAGTGCGTTACCGGTCTTTTGGGGATTAGGAGTTTGAGGATAATTCAATAAAAAGGAGAACATAAATAAACGTATTTTTACTTTCATTTAACTGCTTAATATTTTTCTGCATTAGTAACTTACTGAGTAATGTGTGTATCTATAGAAGCAGTCGTGATAACGAACTATCAAAATAAATTTCTAAAAAAATGGTTGCCTGTAAAGTCGTTTTTACGGGCGAAGATTTTACGTGACAACGTCTTTTTCTCGGTAGAATATTTATTGATATGAATATAATTAAATTGCACAATAGGAACAAGGAATTGAATGAACTAGTGCTGCGCGCGCGGCAGACCGATCATAGTTGAGTGGGAGAGAGACGCAAGGCATTCGGCGGGCCTCTCTCTCGTTCGGTGACTCATCGTAACGTTACCGAGCGTTACACTTTTTCATAAGTGACTCCCAGCCGCAACCTAATTTAAGACGTTGTCACGTCAAAAAAAA